TTACCCATGATTTGACACATCCCATGATCTTGCAAACATCCCACCCACCCACCCGCAACTTGGTTTGCAAAACCTCTTAAGACCGACTACGACGACACCGACGACAACGACTACGACGACACCGACGACGTCTCCGACGACTTCGACGACGACAACGACGCCGACGCCGACGACGAAGACGACGACGATGACGCCAACGAAGACGACGACGAGGGAGGAGGAAGGACGACGACGGCGACAACGACGACAACGACGACAACGACGAGGGAGGCGGCAGGACGGCGACGACGCGAACGACGAAGAAGGAGGAAGGACGGCGACGCCGACGACGTCAACGACGAGGGAGGAGGGAAGACGACGACGACAACGACGACGACGACGGCGACGAAATAGGAGGGACGACGACGAGACGCCGACGACGGACGACGACGACGACGACGAGGGAGGAGGAGGAAGGACGACCACGGCGACAACGACGACGGAAACGACCACGACGCCTAAGAGGACGACGACGACGAACACGAGGAAAGACAGAGGACGACGTAGGCGACGATGACGACGACGCCGCGGGGATGGGTTTTGAAGGTTTTCGGCATACGCGCGCGACGACGCGCGCGTCTGCACTTCGTTCCATTCTTTTTGCAGAGGGTTCCCGCGACGGCACACTCGCAAGGGCGTTCGACAGATTTCGACATGCGCGCGCGCGAAGCCCGTTTAATAGGATTTTGTGTAAATCTGGAAAAACCTATGGTTTTCTGAAGATTTCGCAAGAGCTCGCGCGGAAGTTTTTTTAGCAAATCAGTGTTGCGAACCCCTGTGTTTTTGTATGTCTTTTTGGAAACTCGATTGCGAAATCCTTCCTCCACCGACGGTTTTTGAAGGATTTCGGCATGTGCGCGCGACGACGCGCGCGTGTGCACTTCGTCCCGTTTTTTGCAAGGGATTCGTGAAACAATGTTATGTTAGAACAACAAATGTCACCGCATAGTGATTTTTACAAGGGAACCTCAGGGGGGGGGGGATACCGGCTGGCCTGGGACACTGTGGCTTCATATTTAGGATGGACGTGTGGTCAGAATCATATGTGATTTACATACCCGAAGCGGGGACCGATAACGCCGGGCGGGTGGGTAGAGTATATTCCGTTTTCAGAAAGGAGAATTATTGTCTGTTCGCAGTGGGTTGTCCACTCCACTCCTCGCGCAATCATCCCACCCGACCACCCGCAAGTTATTGTGCAAAGCCCGTGTGGCGGCGATTGCGATAAAGGTTTGGAGTTAGGTTGTGCATCTCTGCGTCCGCGCTAGCCCGTGCATGCTTGCGCGCTTAGCGACCATATAGTTTGGCGCTGCCGACGCGGCCGCGGTGGCGCTGGCCGCCCAGCGGGCACGTCAGTGCGAATCGGCGAGTTGGGCGGGCGCGGTATCATGTCAACGTTGACAATGGTAGGCGCGATGGTGGTTGTAGCGATGCTGGTGGCGATGATGACAGCGACGACGGCAAGGCCAATGACGGCGCCGATGATGATCATGCCCGTGACGTTGACGGCGCCTTCTCGTCGGTGATGAAGGGTTTGACAAGAATTCGACGTGCGCGCGCGGCCGACGCGCGAGAGTGGCCCGCATGGCATTATTTCACACGCATCGTGACACCCCCAGCACGCGCGCAAAGGGCGTCGAGTTAGTTCGACGTGTGGCGCCAGGGGCCCGCTTGGTCGAATTTCATGGACACGTTGAAACTGCATGTTTTGTTTTTTGTTGACAATTTTGGAATCATTTCTTTCTGGTTGTTTTGCGAACTGGTAATGCGCCGAACAGGGTTTTTACGCCATATATATATATATATGTATGTGTGTGTATATATATAGATATATCAATTCGCCAAGCGGAGGATCCAACCATATGCTGTTGCGAGTACGGTCGTTGTGTGCACCGCATTCGGATTAGTTTCCTATGAAGCCACGTAACGTACGAGCGGTGTGCCGCACTTTGTCCGGTGGGCGCTTGCGACAGCAACCACTCGGGCCGTCGGTGGAATTCCCTATGGGGCCACGAAGCGCGTGAGAGGTGTGCCAATATATATATATATATATATATATATATATATATATATATATTGCGGTGGGCGCACGCGAACGCAGCGCAACCACTTGGGGCCGTCGGTGGAGCTCTACATGGGGCCGCGAAGTGTGTGATGTGTGTGTGTGTGTGTGCCGAAATTGGTGCGGTGGGCGCATGCGTGCGCAGCCACTGGCGCTTTCGGTGGAGCTCCCTAAGGGGTCACGAACCGCGTGAGGGGTGTGCCGGAATGGGCGTGGGTGACGCATGCGGTTGGTGGCGCCATGGCCTTCGTTGGAGTTCCCTATGGGGCCACCAAAAAACGTGTGTGGTGTGTGGCGAAAGGTTTGGGTGACGCATGCGGGCGCACCAATTGGGACCTTCGGTGGAGCGCCTTATGGGGCCACGGGGCGTGTGACGGGTGTGCCGAAATGGGGCGGCGC